AGGTCAGCCTGGGCTATATGACAATTTCCCAGTCAGCATGGAATTGAGAGACAGCCAGTTTCAAAAAACAAAGAGAGGGCTGGGGATATAGCTCAGCTGCACAGCACCTGCCTGGCAAATGCAAGGTCCTGAGTTGTTTGATTTCTTGGCATCCACTAAAAAAAAAAAAAAAGTAATAAAAAATAGAGACTTTTAGAAAACTCAAGGAGCTTCAAGACAATACAGGAAAACAATAATTGAGAAATTAACAGAGATGATAATCCACACAGAAAATTAGCAAAGAAATGAAGGAGCTATATTGCATCCTAGATCTATGGAATATTTCTTTCAACAATTGCAGAATATATGTTTTTCTCAATAGCATATAGAAAATTTTCTAGGATAAATCATATGATGGACCACAAAGCAAGTCTCAACAATTTTTTAAAAAATGAAATCAAGTTGAGCATGGTGGTGCACACCTGTAATCCCAGCACTCGGGAGGCTGAGGAAGGAGGATGGTTGCTAATTTTAGATCAGCCTTGTCTACAGAGTGAGCTCAAGACGTCAGCCTGAGCTGCATAGCAAGACCCTGTCTCAAAAATAAAAATAAAATAATCCAATAGAGTACTTTTTCTAATCAAAATGTGAAAGAACAGAAATCAATGATGGGGCTGGCGAGATAGCTCAGTGGACTAAAGTGTCTGCTTAGGCAAGCGCAGGGACCACGGTGTGATCCCCGACAGCACACGCCGCACCAGCCCCACGCCCAAGGTGGGTTGATGAGCCGGACAGAGTCAGAGCCGGAGCCTGGGCATAGTGGTGCGCTCCTGTAATTCCAGCACTGGAGAAGCGGAAAGCGCGAGGACCACCACGAGTCTGAGCTGCGTAGTGAGACCCTGCAACAACCAAATGCATTAAAAAAAGAAAAAGAAATCAATGACAGGAAAAAAACCTTAGGAACTATACAATATATGTGGAAATTAAATAACACTCTTGAACAACTAAAGAATCAAGGGAGAAATCAAGAATAAAATTAAAAATTCTTCCAATTAAATAAAAATGGAGGGCTGGTGAGATGGCTCAGT